CTCAACATTCTAGCTTGTTCTTCGCCTATGGCTTTAGCCCATCCATGAAGTTAAAGAACTCATCCTCTTCACTTAGACTTGGGACTTGAAGGCTTAACTAGACGAATTGTCGAATGTGCTCTCTCAGTAGGCCTTCATGCCTAATATGCCTTAGTTTTGATCGTGCCTCATTCTCGACACGATGAGGGTAGAATTGTTCTTTGAATTCAGTCTGGAACTCCACCCAGGTTCCCATGGTGGTGTCGTCTCATTTCATCTCGGTGCACTTACGTCGCCACCATAAGAGTGCTAATTCGTTAAGTAAACAGAAACAATGTTTACATTTTCAGTATCATTCTTGATGCCCATGGCCCGAAAGTATTGATACATGTCCCACATAAAGTTTTCCACGTCTTTGGCTTATCTGGTCCCTTTAAACTTTTATGGTTTAGGGACTTTTGCTCAGCCCTTGGAAGCGCTGGTCAGCATGTTCCCATCCATGAAAGCCTTGCACAAGGTCACCTCGGTCTTGAGTTGCTCGATCTTCTTCTTCAGGTTTTCGACTTAGGTCCCGTAACCCTTATTCTTAAGTTCTTCGACCTCTTATCTTAGAGCTAAGATTTGGGCTTCAATAATATCTTCTTGTTGAGAACTCTTCGAATCGAATCCATTGAATGTCGCTTGTACATCTTCCTAGATATTCTCCAAGGCTTCAAGCTTCTCGAGATCTAGTGATCCCAACTTCTTAAGATCGATGGATTGTAACAGATCTAAAACCTCCTTGGTCTCTCTCACAGAGTCCTCAAGTCTAGTGATCTTACCTTGGAGCGATGCGAGCATGTCCTTCGACGTTCCTCTTTTCTTTTCTACGTTGCAAGTATCGACGTCCTCGGATGCGGCTGCCTCGCCACGTTGTAAAGCCATCTCGTATAGTCATGAACTTGGCTATGATACCACTTCACACGAGGCTGGACTGTTGGCTAGCTGGTCCGTGTGGCCCTTAGTCGCTTTGGTCGATTGTTGGGCGCTAAGGCAGCCTTGAAACCTAAGTTTGGTTGCTTAACTTGTCACGAATGTAACAACAAAAGAGTATGAACGAAAATAAGAGATGCACGAGAGAATTTGACTTGAAAGTCGGGTTAGTCTTATTTTCAGTAGAAAGAAAGAATGAATACAATAGGGTTGGGGAGACCCCTTTTATAATGAGAATCCCCTAAGAGTTAATGACTAAGTCTACTTCTACTCTAACTAAAAGTACATCTCTATTTTAGTTAAAAGTCTAAAGGTTGAATCCTACTTGAACAAGGATGGTGGCTTTGTCCCTTTTCTTAGAGAGGGTTGGTCTTGGCTTGGAGAGGGCCCGAGTAATGTTGTGCTGGTCTTATCCAATTCTGGCGCGGTCTTGGCACATCCCTTGGTGTGTTTTGGGGCAGACTTGGTGCGCCACCTGATGCATCTAGGACTGGGAGTGTTTTGGTGCGAGTAGACGTGTGCTGGTGGATGTTGGACTCGACCTTAAGGTCGCTGCACGTGACACTAACAACGAGTACAATGATCCGAGCAAAGAATATGGTTTATACCCTTTCGACTCAAGTAATGAAGGGCAAACCACACGCGAAATGGAGATGGGAAGGATGAAGAAGAATGGCTATGGATATAGCGGAAATTCAACCTCTTCACGATGATCATCGGCCTCGTTCATCCCTTTGTAAAGATCCCATCCTTCATGACTTGGAATATCACTTTGATTGCAAAATATGGCAGCAAGTTTTTATTCTTCTTTTTCATGAGATAACACAAATTATAGTATTTTTGTTATCCCTCTAATATTTGAAATTACGGGTTTTCATTGATTTGTATTCATTCTGAGAAACAAAAGTAAATAATGGATTCATAGAAGGTGGATGTGGCTGATTCTTTTATTTATAGTAAATGTTGTAATTTGAATGATAAATTTGTTTGGTTCTTTTTTACATATAAATATTCAAAGCCGTAGGACGGAATGGGTTAGATTCAAATCATGTTGGAGGCTGTGGAGGAAGTTTAAACAAGCAAATAATGTGGGGGGTGGGCAGCAAGTGGGAATATTCTTCCAAGATTGGCTTCCTGTAAATATCCCAAAACCAGAAAAATGATTGAAAACAGCTCATTCTGGCCTGTGCTCCTACCAACTAACCTTATCGATTTACATAGTGAAGTTGGCGTTGGCAATAGATACTAAATAAAATAAGCTTAGAGTATAAAAACAAATGGTAATTGATTACATGCTTTGTTGTTGTTTTGTTGAGTATTTTAGTTATTAAAGGTTAAATTTTTTATTTGAGTTTTTTTTATTATTAAAAATTATAAAATAATTATTTAATTATTTATATATTTCAAAGTCTTCTTTTTCTAATAAAAAATTGGTTGTCATCTGAGTTGGACATCAACCTGTTGATTAATATATGATAAAATTCTACGCCATAACTGTTTAAGTTATATTTTGTGGATAAACTCTTCATTATAATATTATTGAGTAAATCATTGAAACAATGATGGTGTCAATAAACATCATTAAAATATAATTTTATCATATCTCAATCACAGAGCCGTCTCAAATATTTTCGGGGACCTGAGCGAAAATAAAAAATAGGCCATGATTGAAGGAAAATATACTCCATTACTTTAAACAATTAATTTAATATCATAGGAAAATTATTAAACTTTTTCGAATATTAATTTTATTTTTTTTGTTAAGAAAACATCTTAAATACAACTAAGAGAATAAAAAATCAAATGTGGGTATAAATTATGATACGAAGTTTTATTTTGAATAATAAATTAAAAAATAAAGAATAACATATTATGTTATCGTTAGATTGAGATTGGAGAAGACTAAGAATTAAATAATATTTGGTAAATTGAAAAATAAGATTTGTAAAAAAAGATACAAATATAATTAGATTTAATTCAAAATTAAATGAATTCAAAATTAAATAAATTAACGAGAAATGGAGAATTTTATGAAATTGTAAAAAAATAGATGCCTTAATTATAAAGGTAGAAATTGTGATTTAAAAAAAATAGCGGCCTCAATTATAAAGGTATAATCAAGATCAAAAATTTTTATGGGCCTCAATTAGAAAGTGAGATTAAAAAAACTTAAGGATCTCGATTATAAAGTTAAAAAAGTGAGATTAAAAATTAGGGGCCTCAATTATAAAGGTAGAAATTGAGATTTAAAAAACTTAGAGGCCTTAATTGAAAAGGTAGAAAGTGAGATTGAAAAAAACTTAAAGCTTCAATATAAAGTTAAAAGTGAGATTTCAAAATTAGGGGCCTCAATTATAAAAGTAAAAAATAGATTGAAAAAAATTAGAGAATTCAATTTTAAAAATAAAAAGTTAGATTGAATAATATTAAAACCTCAATTACAAAGGTGAAAAAATAAGATTTAAAAAAAACTAATGAATTAATTATAAAGATGAAAAAATGAGAGCCCTGAGCACTCACTCTAGCTCTCCCCTAATAATCGGGTCTACTCAATCAATATATTAACGTTTAGTTCAGAAGGTCTATAAAAAATGAAGACTTTGAAACATGTGAATGGTTGGGAAATATTTTATAACTTTTAAAAAACTTAACAAAACGCCTTAGGGCATCTCCAACGCTGCTTAAGTTTGGAGAATATCTCCACTTTGGAGGTAGTACTTTTCTCCAGCCCATCGCCAATCTGCATCTTCATTGTGGATTGCGCTACATTTTTTTTTTTGTTATTTTTCTGATTTTTTTTAAATTCAAGTAGATTAAATTGCAAGATAGATAAAAATACATTGAAATTAGATAAATAAACATACTAATTTTTTTTGTATTTTTTCTGATTTTTTGTATTTTTTTGATTTTTTTATTTAAATCCAAGTAGATTAAATTGCAAGATATATAAAATACATTGAAATTAGATAAATAAACATACTATTTTTTTGTATTTTTTCTGATTTTTGTAATTTTTTGATTTTTTATTTAAATTCAAGTAGATTAAATTGCAAGATATATAAAATACATTGAAATTAGATAAATAAACATACTAATATTTTTTTGTAATTTTTTTTTTGTATTTTCGTAATGTTATTTATGAATGTTTTATTTATACTTTTTATCTTGATATTTATTAGAAATGTATATTTTTATTTTATATTTGCAAAATCAATAGTATAATAGTTAAATATTGTGAATAAAGTAGAGTTGATGGTAATGTAGAGATAGTGCTATAGATGAATTACTGTTTCATTTTTAGAGTAGAGATAGAGATGTTATAGAATAGAGATGAGGGCTGGAGATAACCTTATAATCAAGAAATCATCTCGTAACTTTAATAGTCGGATACACATAAAATCATACTTTATAATTAAGATACCATCTATGTACTATATACTTTGCCCTTAAGCTAATCTAATTTAGTCAAACATCCTGCCATAGGTGTAAGGTGAGGGTGATCCAAATCCAATTCATTGCCAACCTTAAAATGCTTGCCGATGGGTCCAGAATTGACAACACCAGGACAAAAAGAGAATTTAAAATGATGACTTTAACACAGATATCAACAAAAGGCTCTTTGTTAATAATAAAAAGATTTGGCAGGTGGCCTTTTAAATCGTTATTACAACTTAACAACCATTTGATTCGCATTTCCAGAGCTGTACCATGTGCTGCTCAAATTTCATTTGATTTGCTATATTACCAGGAATTTTATTATCAAATAATATTTCAAGCCCGGAAGAAGATTCTTACCCAAAACTCAATTTATATTGAAGCTTGTTCCCTCTTTGATAAAAGTTTATATCACGTTAAACAAACGCAATTTGTGTAGCACATCTTAACGATTTTTTTTCGAAAGCATGTATTGTGGTTAAAAATAGCTACATTCTTAAAGACTAAAAGCTTCATTGTAACCTTAAACTGCCTATTGTGAATTAGCACCATGTAGAGAATCATGGTTTTCCTATTCGCTAGCCAATAATATTGTTACTCATCTACATACATGAATTCAAAGCATGGTTTCTCTCAACCTGTTGTGCCTTGAGCACTAAAAAATTGTGACAAGTAGGGAAAAAAGGAGAAAGTTACACAAAAAAATTTCGTCCCCATCCCTATAGATAGGCCCATCGACCAGAGCCAGATCGCCTTCGCCTCTGCCGCTTTTGTCTAATTCGCCAAATGCTCACAAACAGTAGAGAGCCTGAAGAAACAGTACATCGATCAATGATGCTTTTAAAAACAAATAAGATAGATTTACTACCATATTACATTCACCAACCTGTAACTGCAACTATTGCTGGTACAAGCCAATAATGACTGGCAACTAGTTCAGGCACATCCAGCTGAAAACGCGAGGGAAGTTTATCAGTGCTTGGATTTACTGTACATAAAGCATTAATGAGTTCAACCAAATCTTCAGCTTCTTACCTCATCTCCGTATAGAAGACCCAGGTACCTGTTTCCCAAAGAATCACCCTTACTTCTCTTTGTAAATTTGGGGCGTCTTGATCTGCTAGTATCAAAAGTGGAATTTAATCCTCTCCCCAAGTCAATAACATGATGGCCAGGCAGTTTTTTGTTTCTGCCCCGAATTTGCAAATTGTATCCTTTAGTTCCCCACACTTCAAATCTAGAATCACTTCGACAGATTAAATCCTTCCCTGTGACAGCCGAATACACAGAGTAATTTACATCAGTTCTTCGAGATGGTAAGCGGTTGTCATCTTCATACAATGGCATATCTTGCTTGACAGACTCGGACAAAAGCACTGTATCTTTAATATTTGAACCAGTGAAATCCAATACTTTTCTTAGAAGCCAGAAGCAGTTAGTAACCATATGGCTGCTGTCCAAGCAGTTCGAGTCCCCATATACAGCAATGCGACCTTCACCAACATCTAACAGGCCAAGAATCGGAGAGTCAGCCTGCACATGACAAATAGATCACATCATTTCAATGGTTGCAAAACATAAATGATTAAAAATGTAAAACATTTCATTCCGCTGAAATAAGGTCCATGAATCCCTGAAAGAAAGAGCATCTATATCTAATCACCTTGTTCGTGCCAGAATTTAGTAGCACATCTTGAGTAGCCCCACTCTCTGAGCTATCCAAAAAAGGAAAGCTGTGTATGTACCCGCCTCTTGGAAACCTCACTATATCTGTTCCAGATGCATATCGACTCTGCACGCCATTAATAGAAAAGTCACCATTCAGAATCTTATCCCCAAAAGCGATCCCAAATGGTTCCAAAAGATCATTTAGTGCAGGAATATTTGCACCTCCAGTTACTGGGGTCCACCAGCTCCTTGTGTTGTCATCAAAAAATCTCATTTTAACCATTGTGTCCACATTATACCACTCAGCAAACACAGCCAACCCCAACCCAGTATTAATAACATCATCCTTGAGCTTTTCAATCTCTTCTTGAAAGTACTCCTCTTCAGGATCAACAAGCAAAAGTGTCCCATATTGGCTGGCATCAAAGCATGTAAAGGGAGAACCGAGCGTCTCAAAATAATAGCCAGCATCAGTTAACATGTTGAACATATTATGAAAATTTGTATGAAGGTGATCCCCATGCCAATCAAGAATGTCAGTCCGCACATGCAATGAGTCTCTTGGAATATATCCAGGAGGATATTTTATACTGTGAAACTGATCCCACAATACCCGTTTTGATCGTGGTGGGGTTGGAACCACATTCAATTTCAATTGAAGCACACAAGTACTACTTCGAGCAGTTTTCTCTCCTTGGGCTGGAGGACTGTATATTCTAACAGTTACATTCCCCTCAATGACTCCAGAAAAATGAGCCCCTTCTTCCTTAATTTGCATGTGCAGTGCTATGTAACCAGTCCAAGGCCAGATGACTTCTGAATAAGTAAAGCGGATGCTTAAAAGATTCCCTTCCTCGGATGAAGGATGCCATGTTGGTGGACTCTGGACATAGCCAATGACATCCATTCCATTCAGAATGGTAGCATTGAATATAACAGGCATGGCACCAGAATAGAGTGCTTGACGACAAAAGGGCCAGGTATATGGACAATCTGTATAATCAAGAACACTAGGGAAGACGCTTGCTCGAGGTTGATAGCTCTTCAAAATTTCAAACGATTCTAATCTGACAACAAAATTAAAAATAACCATAGTTGCTTCAACCGAACTGGAGATGCAGATAGAATAAAAATAGCAACAAACTGATAATTTACTAAATACATGGATCTAAAAGATTTCCGAATGTTAATAGGAGAAGCATTGTGGTTTCGTGAACTTACAGATCTACTCTCCCTGCACCCTGCTCATACATGTTAGGACCAGCAAGCTTAGAAGCACCCTCAACCAGAGCTTGTTTCATGCTTGCAGGATTTAGAATCTCCTTTCTTTTGTTCTCAGGAATGACACTGACAAGCAGGCATACAACACCCGCAACCACAGGACTTGCCACACTAGTGCCTGATAATTTTTTACAACCAGTACTGATCTTGGCTCCCATAATTTCCCGCCCATATGCCACAACATCTGGTTTGATACGACCGTAACTGCAAAGATAATCATCAAGTTAAATTTTCAAGGATTACTCAACATCATAAAGCTTGCTTTAAGAGAGATGGAACATCATAACAAAAAGAAAAGGGCTACATGAAAGTGAAGATCTAAAGCCTTCAATACGATCAGCACTGAAAAGAGGTCAATACCAAGACCTCAATACATTTAAAGAAAAGTTAATATGTTAGAATAAAAATTCGCTACCCATGAGGAATCTCCCAAGTACTCATGCCACGTGATGAGAATGAGGCTATGTGATCATTATAATCAATGCCACCAACACCAATAACATCACTTTGGTCTGCTGGGTTGTTTAAAGTGCCATAGAGTGGTCCATCATTTCCAATGGCTGATACCATAATAATATTGCTGGCTGTAATTTCCCAAACCTGGAGAAACCATAAAGCAGAAAACATCAATCGAAAAGGTTAAGCTCCATTGCATTCAAGAAAAATATGCAAAAGAGAATGCGTAGATGAATATTGGAAGTTTCACCACCAGATGGGTAACCTCACAAGCTGATCTTTCCGTATACGGAAATAAATGTCCAAAGAAAACAAGCAATCTTCTCAACAACTTTAATGAAGAAATAAACTTGCTTTGATTGAAGCATTTCCATATTGCAACATAACCAAAATTAGACAAATGCAGAGCAGATTAAAGCCAATATTTTGTTCACTCTTTCGCAATTTTGAAACAAAATTATCAAAATGGTGGTCGACATATGAGCCGCAATAGGGCCACAGGCCATGAGTTGTACCTTCTCTACAAATGGGAGATCCAAGTAATCAGGACCACCTATGCTCAAGTTTAGCACATCCATATTGGTTGCAAGAGCATAGTTGAAAGCATCGAGGAACCAAGATGTGTATGATACCTGCAATAAGCTGAGAACAAAATTTTCATAATCTAGCCAAATTTTATGGTTAAGAGAATGTCTTTAGGTTCATGGATATACTGTATGATGTATACAAGTCTCTCATATCTTTCCTATTCATCATTTTGCAATTCTAACATCTAATTATGGTAATGAACAATTCAAAAAAGGTCTGATTTCTGTAGTGCATGCTAAGCGCATTCTCAAATGGATGACGAGATAAAATTGAGAGGAAATCAAGGACAAAAGGGGTGAGATTAGAAAGGAAAAAATTTTCTAATACCAACTTGTTTTACCTGTGCATCGGTAAAAACACGAAAAGCATAAATCTCAGTATCTGGTGCAAAACCAAGACACTCTGCATTCTCACCAGCAATAACACCAGCCACAAATGTCCCATGTCCAAGATTATCATTCAAAGTATCCTCATTAGTCCAATTAGTTCGTTCCTGAAAATTTTGCTCTCAAGGTTGAATATTAAAACTCTATTGAACCCTCATTATTAACTTAGCGAAACAGAGAGTCGTTTTTAATAAGAAAATAATTTCAAACCAATTCATTTTTCCCACTGACATATCGTACCTTAATGTTTCGAAAATGAGGGTGATCAGCACGTATTCCGGTATCGAAAATAGCCATTTTGACTTTAGCGCCGGTATACCCTTTTCGCCATAGAGCATCTGCTTCGAATAAGGAAGTAACTTGAGACCTCTGTGAAATCAAAATCAGAAATTCCGTAACTTTCCTCCCTCGTTTCAATTCATTTATATTCTCGTATTGGGAAATTTACTTAATCAAATTAAAAATTTACCTTCATCAAAAGATGGCGACTCCAATTAATTGAGGAATTACTTAAACCCGAATGGTGGAAATGTTTCTCTTCACTAAACGACATCGACGTAAAAATCTTTCCGGGTCGCTTTTTCCCATTCTCAAAAGCACCACCAAGCAGGCCCCTATTATAGATCAAATCAACATTAACATCTTTAACTAGCCCCAGCCCTTGAATTTCTTCAATCACGGTTTCTTTCACCGAATCCCTGATCGAAAGCAATCCAAAATCTGTGGGGAATTTAGCGGCCGGGTTGTGTCTCTGGATCCACTCCCACCCTTCGGATCGAAGGCAGGATTCCAAGTACGAACGGTGATCGGACGCATGTTTGTAATCGGTGAACCGGACAATGTAGTTGTTACGGGTGGCTAGGGGTGGGTGGATTCGGTTAGGGGTTAGGGTTAGGTTGCGGGACGAACGGAAAGAGAGTTTGAAATGGAGAAGGAAAAGGGAGAGAAGAAGAACGAAAAGGGAGGATTTCAGAGGCATCGAAGGTAGAGCTGTGGCCATGGTGAGCGAAACTTGTTTGGCTGGAAAATCCCCTCATCGGATTGAGAAAAACGGATGTGGAAGAAGAAATCTCTTGTTTCTCTTAAACCAGTTGCATCTTGAACTTCCGACAACCTCGTCGATCTTAGAACGGAGGACAAAATCCAACTGTCCACCTCATCAGCTGCTACTAAATACTAAAGGGTAAACTACGTATTTAATCACCCATATATTTTATAATTTTATTTTGATCACTCAATTATTATTTTTAAGCAAAAAGATGCCTGAGGTCTATAATCTTTTCAAATAAAAATCAATTTGACCCTCATCCTACTTTTTGGATCAATGTGAAATTCTAACTCGAAAAAAGAATTCAATGTGGCTCCTTGACCAATGTAACCCCTTGACTAATGTTTTTCGTCATTAACCAATAGTTTTCGAAATTGAAAAGTTTTAGAGTTTAATGACCAAACTAAAAAAGAATAAAATAATTGAGTGATGAATGATGTAATTTACTTAATTTATAACAACAAGAATTAACGTAACTGTTAGCCAATGATAGAAAATGTTGGTCAAGTTGTCATATTGAGTTCTTTTTTCGAGTTGTAGCCTTATAGGGTCACATTGATCCAAAAAACAAGACGAGTCCTAAATTAGTTTGTTTAGAAACTTTAGGTGTCTTTTTGACTATTTTTAAATAATATTATTTAATTTATATTTTAATTTTTATTTTGATTATTCATCATTAAAATTTAATGATGATATGAGTATATCATAAGATAATATTATATCATCATTGAATTTTTTTTAAAAAAATTACCATATTAGTAGTGTTTTGTTTTTTAACTACGAAAATTAAAATAGAATAAAAATGAAAATTAAATATGATTTAGAAAAAATAATGGTTAAATGATTAAAGAATCCAAAAAATAGATGAGTAAGTAAATACATAATTTACTAAAAGTTAAATTGCTCGTCGTCGGAGTGATGTGTCACGTGACCTTAAACTCGATCGCATTTCGCATCAGCAAGTCCGGGCCGATTTTGGGCTGGAGTTAAGTATAGTATTTAACGGGTTTCAATTTGTTCAAGCTTTGTTCGGCCCGTGATTCGGGTCACATTGTTTACCCGCTTTTACTGTATCGTATCGTATCGTATTTTCAAAGAAACACTTCAATTCAATAGAGTTATGTTGGGTACGTCTGAGAGCAAAAACCGGCAGTGCTTCAACCCACTCGATGGCTCGAGGCCTAGTCCTCTGTTCACATACCAGAACCATCGTCAACCTTTCCTTTTCACTTCTCAATCCCCGCTGCCGCCGTCACCTCCGTTATGATGGATCTCGAAATATACCTTCGAAGCTCGTCTTTTGCCATTGCGCTGGCTCCCTAATGATAAACTTAGTAGACATGGCCACGTACAATGAAGCTTTCTCCAGGAAAATGGCCATGGCCGGAATCAAACACCATAACCGTATTGGTTAGTTTCTTTTTGCCCTTCTCTTTGTTGGGTTTAGGCTAGAAATCGATGGCCTTACCAAATAATGAAATTTTTCATCCGGTTTTAAGATGGAAAAAAAATGGTAACTTGGTCCTGCAAATTTTTATATCATTGATTTCATCTCTGGGTTTGTTTTTTAGCTCTAGGTGTATCTGGGGGACCGGATAGCATGGCGTTGTGTGTTCTAGCAGCTAATTGGAAAACTGAAGTTCAATATGGGGTTGACAACAGTGGGAAATTCATTGATAGTCTTTTGGCAATAATTGTTGGTCACGGGCTAAGTCCAGAAAGCAAAGATGAAGCAAAACTAGTGGGAATTCGGGTTTCAGAAATGGGTATATTTTAGTTTTTCTGTGCAAATTGGGTTTCTCACTCGTATTTGGATGGCTAACATGAGTTTTGTGTAGGAATCAGATGCGAGATTGCCCGTTGTGATTGGACGGACGGCAAGCCATTTTTTTAAAAAAACAATTAAGTTTAAAAGAACACTTATGTTTTTTATTTGAAAAATTGACGATTTTGAATTGATTTGAATTAAATTGAATATGAGTCACCATCGACCTTTGGATTAGGTAGTTCGAATATCTAAAAACGTTTTTTAAAATAATTTTAAGAAAAATCGTTTTTAAGACAAAAATTGGTCTGCGTTTACCAAAGATCTGATTTAATAAGTTCGGGGGTCGATTACGTGTGGGGAAGGGTAAACACCTCCACAACGCCTAAAATTGATACTTAATCGCTTACACGTTGTCGTAAATGGTGGAAATTGTGAATCGAATATATAGTTAGAATGTGATCCATTTATTAAAGTTTAATTAATTTGCTCTAAATTGATTGGTTAGAGAAAATTCTTTAACTTGAATAGAAATCTCGAGATTAGCAATCCTCCATCGGGAAAGCTATCTCACCTATTTATTATCTGTAAAGAATATTCCATCCTCGATAAAAAATGCGTATCGAATATAAACTAAAATCGACATTTGCGTAAAATAACATAAATTGCCATTTAAAGAAAAATGCATTACATTATTTGATAAAAAAATTAATTTAATTAGTAAAATAAACTAGATTTATTTCAAATTCTCATTTTGTTAAAATGTCGTATCCATCACTTCTACCAAGTGATGCTTTCCACACTCATTCTATAAATAAAGGTTCTTGAAAATATTCGAATAACATATCGATAGATAATGAAAAAACAATGAAAACAAATACAATTTGAAATCTACAAAATAAAATATTCGCAACATACAGAGCTAATAACGTCCATTTAAAATAATATATAGAGCCGTAATATATGAAATATACATATACATGAAGGACTAGAACAAAATAAAATAAAAATTACAACTCTAAACATAACCGACATAAATAATCACATTTGATGATTTTAAGGGACCTAAATATTATTAACAGAAATTTGAAAGGGTTGAACAATAAATATAAGGATTAAGTATAGTAATAGTCATTGAACTTTTCTAATACTTTCATTTAGGTCCCTCAACTTTTAAAACTTGCAATACAATCCCCCAATATTTATTCCGTTTGCAATATGGTCCCCCAATAGTTACGTCAGAGACCATATTGCAAACGAACTAAATGTTGAGGGACCATATTGAAAATGGACTAAATGTTGGGGGATTATATTACAAGTTTTAAAAGTTGGGGGACCTAAATGAAAGCTTTAGAAAAGTTTAGTGACCATTACTATACTTTACCCTTATTTTTTTTTTTTTTTGTGTTTGGATTAAAAGGAATAGTGTAATCCAATATGCAAGAAACACAGTTCATTAATGAATTGGAACCTCAAGTTGCGGGTGTTTTCGATTTTTTTATTCCTCCTACCCTCCTTTGCTTTTCCTTTTTCAAAGTTATTCTCTTGTTTAGCAACGAACATAAATTGAATCATAAATTGTTTATATACTACTTAATGGAATTTTACCATCCTTTTTGTTTAGATATAATGTAAAATATTTATATTCCATAATAACATAATTGAAAGTAGAAATACCATATAAACGGATTTAATACAGTTTAATGACATTCCAACTCAATCCCTACTATTGGTTTCATAAATTAGTGGAATTGCTTAATATAGATATAAGAACTTCTCCAAACATAATAACACAAAACCGAGTTTGTTTATGTATTTTAAAACTAACAAGTTGGGTAGTTGGTACAAGGAAAAGTATATAACTGAAAAGAGAAACCACTAAGAAAGTGTGTTGGTCTTCTTCATTGGAATGAATAAAGAATGGGAAAGGAAGATGAGAAGAAAAGATTCACAGAGGCATGTGATAAAGAAGGGTGAATTAGGAATGCTCGACTCCATCTTGGTTCTCTTTGAAAACATGGTCTCTCACAGATTGGCTCAATCTACATTATTATTTATATTATAGAATTCAGTTTTATTTTTTTTTCTAAAAATGAACTTTTTTATTAGAATTTTCAGATTAAAAAAAATCGACTTCAAATTCAATCCACGTATAAACACCTCACGAGCGCGAAGCACAAAATTGAATGAAAAGAAAAAAGGAAATTAAATATAAACTTTGTTTCTATGTATAAAGAGGGCTAAAAGTATAAGCCAGTTATGGCTACGTCTTGAAGTTAAATTTTGTAAAGAAATTAACTAGTTCAAGATAAAATTATTTGGATTCTCCAGACAAATTTTTTGATTTTATCATGTTTTTATCAAGTTAAAATTTTATTGATGCTTGTTTGATTGTTTTTTTTTTGGGAGTAAGAGATGAAATATAGTTAATTTGAAGTTGGGACGGTGAAAAAATTAAAGAAGATAAAAGTCTGATATTACACGACTTTTGTTTTAATAATCGAGGGATGTTTGCATTTGAGATGGGATTGTGGTGGTAGGAGAAAGATTGGGACTAGAATTGTTGAAACGATTGGAACCACAACATTTTGATGGCAGTTCTCGACCCCAGCAGTTTTGGATTTTGCTGAAAATGATGCTCCAAACAAACATCAACCTACTCCATTCCCCTACCAAAAATATTATTACTTACAACACTTTTTTTTTCCTTCAAAGGGAAATGGATATTTATTTGGGTAAAGTATAGTAATGGTCACTGAACTTTTCTAAAGCTTTCATTTAGGTCCTCAACTTTTAAAACTTGAAATATAATCCCCAACATTTAGTCTGTTTGTAATATGGGCCCTCAACATTTAGTCAATTTGCAATATGGTCCCTGATATAACTGTTAGGGGACCATATTTCAAATGGACTAAATATTGGGGGACTGTATTGCAAGTTTTAAATGCTGGGGGACTGTATTGCAAGTTTTAAAAGTTGGGGGACCTAAATGAAATCTTTAGAAAAGTTTAGTGACCATTACTATACTTTACCCTAAATATAAACAAATCAGAACCAAGAACGAAAATATTAAATAATATAGGTGCTGGAAATGAAAATAACCCATAAATAATATTACGGACTGAAATGAAATAAACCAGAAACATAAAAGGTTGAACAATAATTAAACCAAATGAAAAGTAGTGACTAAAATAGAAGATTTGCAAATATCATGACCAAAATCAAACATTAACAAGAATAACATAATATGTAAGAACAAGACTAAAACATAAACATTGAAATATAAGTGCTCAAAACTAAATAAAGTAAAATTTCATTAAATGGCTGAAAGATGAAATTACAAAGTTAGAGGGACCCAAAGTAGAATTTACCCAAGCGTAAAAAATTGCCAACTGGTCCCCATCGAAACTACATCGTTTCATGGGGGATATATAAGCCTGAAATCAGGCTTTCCTTTCTCATTTCCCTTATTTGCTTTCCCTCATTTGCTTTTCTTCAGAAAATAGAGAGAGAGAGAGTCTTCAAAACTCTCTCAACTCTCTCATCGGGGAAGAGATAGGTTGCCGCCGCCGCCGTTCACGACAGCCAGAGATAGGCAACTACCCTCTAAACCCCTAGATCTAAGTTTTACCTTTCGAAAACCTAGAGATTCGATGACCCTTGGACTTCCAGCTTTGAGCTGAGGTATACTTCTCTCTTTCTCTCTTTTTCCTTTGGTTTTTTCGTTCGAATAGGTTGATTTTCTCTCTGGTTTATTCATTTTTTTTCCTGAATCGAATAGGATCTCCTCTTTTTTTTCTTCGAACACACTCTCTCTCTCCTCCATGTCCCCCGTGTGTGTTGTTTCCCCCATGTTTTCATTTGTTGGTATGTGATGGCTTTTGATGACGTGTGTGGTGGATTGACAGCCCCGGATTTTCCTCGGGATATCCCTTTTGTACAAATATATTTTTTATGTGATTTTATTCTCTGATTGCTTTTCTTTATTTGATTGATTTGTGACATAGGGATGAAACGACGGTGTCAGAGGCGGTCGGCGATAGTAGCAACAACAACAATGGAGGTGGCAGTTACCCTTGGGTGATCTAGACCGTTGGATGATTGACGTTATGAGGCGGTTGACCCTTGGGTGTCAGAGGCAGTTGACGTTGCTCCTACGTGATGCGGAGATATGGTTAGTGGATGACACGATTCTTACGTGATGAGGATGACTGTCCATCTTTAAGGAGATGATAACACGGTTCTTACACGATGAAGATGACTGGTTATCTAAGGTTGACGCGGCTCCTACGTTATGAGGAGATTTGGTCGGTGGATGACACGGTTCCTACGTGATGAGGACGGCTACCATATTTAGGGATGATGATAACACGGTTCATACGTGATGAGGATAGCTGGTTATATAAGGGTGACGTGGTTCCTACGTGATGTGGAGATCTGGTCGGTGGATGACACAGTTCCTACGCGATGAGGACAGGTGACCATCTTTAGGAATAAATTGTTTCAAGAGAAACTGTCTCAAAAGAGACAACACATGTATCAAGGGAAATTGTCTCAAGAGAGACAAAATATGTTTCAACGGGAACAATCTCAAGAGAGACAAAATATGTTTCAAGGGAAACAGTCTCAATGTTTTTATTTTAAGAGAAACTGTCTCAAGAGAGACAAAACTTTGTTTCAAGGGAAATAATCTCAATGGTTTATTAATTTTGTTTCAAGTAAAACAACTTTGAAATTTGTGTTATGAGGGAAACTGTTTCAAGTGAGACGGGATTTGTTTTTAGAGAAATTATCTCAAGCGAGACAAAATTTGTTTTTAGATAAAACTGTCTCAAGAGAGACAAAATTGGTTTTTTAGAAAATTTGTCTCTAGCGAGACGACACTTTGTTTCGAGAGAAACAATCTCAAAGGCGACAGACAATCTACTCCGTATGTTGAGGAAATCTAGCTGCCTTTAGAAGATTTGATCGTTCACTTCAGGATATCAATTCTGTGGATGACATTGTTCTTT